AGGAAAATTACGTTAGAAACAAAGAAAAGGATAATGAATTGTTATGTAATAGCAATAATCCTATATCAAAGAGAATACTGGACAGTTTCCTCACAGATGAAAAGAAGACTAAAAAAGAATTTTAATTCTACAGAAGAATGCTGAGAATACCATGAACGGAATTCTTGAGCAACAAGGAAGTCTTAAGGAATATAGAAGCAAAAAGGACATTCTAAGAATCAGAAAGAGATAGCTGAAATATCTTGGATATATAATGAGCAAAAAGGGCTTGGAGAATTTGTCTCTCACAGGACATATGGAAGGCAAAAGGGACAGTAAAATATAGCGGGACACCTACCTGATGAGTTAAGTCCGGGCAGTTTTCAGTTTTTATCACATGTTTGATTTCTTGTACAACAAATTCAGGGTCTGCTCTGTGCTTGGTTTTAGAGGTATCGTATGTTACAAGCCAGTTCCCCTACCCCACCATTGAGATGTTAGAGCTTAATTCTTTGACTATTCTTCGACTCCTAAATTTTACTGCTAACCATTTGTGAGGCTAATATTTTTCCGGCCCGACAACAAAGCAGAAAAATATTTGAATTTCAAAACATTTACCATCTCCGAAATCCACAGCTTAGAAGGACATTTATCAAGGTCGAACTGCTGGCAAAGTTTAACTTTTGGGTCCGCCAAAATATAACGGTGTTTACACTTTTCTACGCTGTATACACTTTTGGCTCCCCTACGGAGATGTTTATTTGCAAGATTATAAAAACATGTAAACCAAGTACAATGCGATATTTATTATTTAACTTTTATAAAGATTTATTATTTACCATTTTATAAAGAAATACATTTGAAAAGAAATCTTTTTGTTCAAAACAATTACTAAAGTATGTAAGAGGAAGTGACGCCCTTAACCTATTTTAGTGAATTTATGTGGCGAGATCAAATGAACAAATTCTCGCGAAATGTATTTTCAAAGTTCCTCGTCGTTGTGTACTTAAATTTCGTTCACAGATATTCTTACAAATTTATGGTTAAAAATATTCTTTTCATATTTATTTCTTTATGAAATTGTAAATAATAAATACTTCATTACAGTTGGTCCACATATTTTATAATCTTGTAGATATAAAATTAGTATTGTAAATAAGCGATCTAACAAATAAATACTGCTTAATATCTTTGTTGTCAATTCTCAAGAATAAAGAAAATATATAAGTTCACTTTCATACTCTATTAAAATTCTAACCATCGCTTTTTAAAACAAGAAACGTTACCGAGAGAGTCAAAAGTGTTTACAGTAATAGCGGTATCAAGGAAATAAGCGTTTTTGACATACCGTTTTTTTTTTTGTGTCACGGACGTTAAACATTGCCAAATTTACTATCAATGTCATGCGAGAAAAATGATAATCCACTCGCTCATTGTCTGTAAGATTAGCCACTTTGGATGCTTACGTAGATGTTTATAACTGCCTTTAATCAATGTTAGAAATAGGAAGCATTTAATAAGGATCGAGATCATGAGACATAATCTGAGAGATTAGCTTACTTACCATAGCTTTACGATAGGCACTCAATTTTGGAAGATAATTGGCTATGTATGTTCGATGTTGTATTTAGCAGACCTTTTGTATTTTTTTCCAAATTAAAGATGACTTCAGAAAAGAAACCATGGCCAGTGCGCATGCTCAAATCCGATCCGAAATGATGCAATCAGCAGCTGTTTATCCGAAAAGGAAAAATATATATATATATATATATATATATATATATATATATATAAATATATATAAATAAATACAAAAAAATACACTTTTTATTTGAAAAGAAAAGAAAACAAAACAAAAATGGAATAAGGAAAAAAAAACCAAACAAACATTGAAAATGCGAATTAAAAGCATTTCCTGTTTGGGTTCTTCATTCAAATTATCTATTTCTTTCTTTTATTGGACGCAATTAGGGACAAGAAGTGTGTTACTGGTGGTGGTGGTGGTGGTGTGTATGTATGGGGGTCTGTCTCCTCGTTAAAACTCCTTTTTGTCGCGAGCCTGTAAATTTGATTTCTCTTCCGCATCTCAGTTGGGAATGTATCTTATCAACCACGCCAGCTCCCAACGCCCCTTTTAATTTGCTAGTGCAGACGCGAGCTGGATTTAATCTTTAGTTACTGGAGGTAGAAAAATAAAATAAACGAGCGGTAAAAAGTAAACAAGGCTTGATTTAGCGCCAAGGACAGCGTGAGAATGAATGAAAATGGTGTGAGTGTGTGGGGGAATAGGAGAGAGAGACAGACATACACACACACACACACAGAAAAGCATAAGAGGAATGGTAATAGAAAAAAGTTATGGGAGATAAAGAAAGAAAGGGAGAGAGAGAGGATGATAAGAAGAGAGGAGCGAAGTATGAGAAAAAGCGAAAGAATGAAAAAGCTGGATAAGAAGAAGAAGAAGAAGAAGAAGAGGAGGAGGAGGAGGAGGAAAAGGGGTAACTAGTGAAGAAGAAGAAGAAGAAGAAGAAGAAGAAGAAGAAGAAGAAGAAGAAGAAGAAGAATGAGGATGAAGAGGAAAAGGAGTAACTGGTGAAAAAGAAGAAGTGTGTGAGAGGAGTAATAGATTAAGAGAATAGTGAATCCTTAACAAAGAGACAACGAAATAATGAAAGCGTATGTAAGAATACATGCGTAAGTATATAAGAAAGAAAGAACGTGTGTGTATATAGGTGTAATGTACATGAGTGAAGAATAAAAGAACAGAAGTGAAAATTAAAAAAAAACAACTCAATAGAGGCAAAAGAAATGAAAGGTGGTAAGAAAAAAAAGGATCGAGAAAAAGATATATATATATATATATATATATATATATATATATATATATATATATATATATATATTTTGTATATTTAGGCAGCAATCCTTCCTTTATGCATGTTTCATTAAAAACGACAGACAAGGTACTACGGTTGAGCTTTTTATTTAATTTTTCTTGTGTTCTGACAAGAGCTTTCTTTTCTGGACAAAAAGAAAAAGCCAACTCTTAACAATATTAACTATGAACAAAGCCACAATGTGCTAACCGTATTCGGAAACTAAAAACATCACTACCACACACTGAACATACACAGAACACACACACTCTACTAAGCTGATATTGAATCATCCTTGATAATGGCTAAAGATATAGCCGAAAGCGCTCGGAAATACAGAACATTCGAACAGTACTTACACACTCTTTGTCCAGAAAAGGAAGCTCTTGTCAGAACACAAGAAAATTAAATAAAAACCTCAACCGTAATACCTTGTCTATCGTTTTAATGAAACATGATATATATATATATATATATATATATATATATATATATATATATATATATTTATATATATAGTTACAGTCAGACATATATATATAAGAGCGAAAGAGAGGAGAAAGATAGTGGCGAGAATTAGGTTTAAAAATTAAATGAAAAAAGATAGAGAAGTGGTCTAGATTAATAAAGCTAAGTAGTAAAAACTACACAAGATATAAAAACGAATGAAATTGAATGAATAGAGGAGGCAATAAACACAATAAAATGGATTCAGAAGAAAATAGTTAAACAAAAGATAAAGAATTTTTTTTTCCACTACGAAACGAGGGAAAGAAGGAAAATGAATGAGAATGAGTGAAATTTACGACGCCATTACTAACGCTCAATGGGGCCATTTTGTTTGATACAAATTTTTTTTACGCTTAGTTTTATTTTGAGATTAGAACCAAAATATGATGAATAATGCAGGATTTAGTGATAAAAATGATTTTCCTGGATATAGGGAAATCGATTTCCAAGAGAAAGAAGGTATCTAAAAAGGTAATTATTGCGATAAATAAAAAGTAATAAGAAAATTTAACAGATAAAAATAGACGGTTTTTTTTCCAAACAGAATTTTCAAAAAAGTGAAAAAGGTTATGTGTAATATAGTATGAGTTTTCTTTTTTTTTTCATGTTACTGCAATCAGAATTTCAAATAAAAAACAATATTTTTCTGCACATCGATGCAAAACAATGAAGCTAATATGGCGAAAGAGTCTGTATACCTCGATAGTATGTCCTAGCATTTTATTTACACATAGAGATGTCAAATAATGAAGTAATAATTTTAGTTGATTTATTTTTTATGATCCGCAATATTTGAAACTACAAATAATTGTTAAGAATTCAGATTTTTTTTTCTTTCTTTTACTTTTTTTTTTGCCAGACACTTGGAATAACACTGACCCATCTAAAATAAAATGAAGAAAGGAGCTGGGGCGTAAAGTTTGAAATACACGGGTCCCTCAATAACTTTTGAGTTTTACTGTTTGTAAACTAAATACTTACTTATCTATCTTTAGTCTGCTTATCTGCCTTTCTCGGTCTGTTTATAATACCGATTATCCGTTGCCATATCGAGCAAGTTTACGCAAACAGGCGGATAGACTCTCTCTCTCTCTCTCTCTCTCTCTCTATCTCTCTCACACACACACAGACATGCACACTCATACACACACAGATATGATAATGTATCAATAAGTATGTAGCTTAATACGTATTACTTGAATTTCAATAAAAATTTTTTCACTATATAATGTTCGATATTATTACGTAAAAATTTTCACTGTATAATGTTCGATTTTAATACTTAAAAATAATAATTACACTCAAAAGCAAGACAATAAAGCCACTAAGACACATGGGATTATTGTGTGAGAAAACGTTATTAAGAAGAGGGAACAATTAAAGAACAGAAATTAAAAAGACAGAAAATAATGATTGACATTGCATTTAAATTTTTGAAAATCAAAGTTTACTGGAGAGCACGAAAGCTGGAAGAGAGTTCCACAAGATAGAAGTGCGTGAGAAGAAACTGTTAGTATAGAACTTACGGTTACATCTAGCCATTTGAATTGTAAGATGATGAACCCCTATCAGTAAATTAAGCACACTGACAAAGAAGGAGATTATGTGGAAAAACAACTGCTTTTTAAAATTATTATGGAATCTATCTATCTATCTATCTATCTATCTATCTATCTATCTATCTATCTATCTCAGTCTATTCATATCTATCTATTTATCTCAGTCTATTCATATCTATCTATCTATCTATCTATCTATCTATCTATCTATCTATCTATGTAAATTCAAATGCTGAAATAGTAAACGAAATAGTGATTTTTTTCTTTATCAGCAAAGACTGATATGAAGTTCTCGATCTCTAATCATTTTACTTAAATGTACATCGCCTTACCAATTATTCCACAACCTTGCAACCCCCCTGCCCCCAGCTTCCATCCATTAGGGAATACATGGATGCAGATATTTAACCGTATTCCCTCGTGAGTAGAATATGGAACTAGACAGAGTTTAAAGTGCCTGTGCCGCACGTACACAGGCCTAAGGATAAAAATTGCTCAAATCCCTTCGACATTTCCCCTTTAGTGCTTATATAATCTTTTATTTAATTTCCTTCATGTTTCTCCGGTGTATTCCTTGTGACAATTATTGCAGGTGATAAAGTAAATTCCTCCTTTAAGTTTTAACGTATCATTTTGTTTTGTATTAATTAAGTCTTTTATTGTTTTAGACGAAGTTGTGGCAAATTTTGTGTTGTGTTTAGACAAGTTCTTTTCGATTTTAGTTGTGATAGATTTCGTGGGTAGGACAATATATTTTAATTCGTTGGATTTTGTTAGGAAGGACAGCTTTTCTATTTAAAATAGTTTATGAGCTTTTTTCCGCATTGAATATGGAAGATATATGAAAGATTATATGAACACAAAGTGTATTTTTTAAAAAAGAAAACACATTAAACGTATTACTTGTTCATCGTAAACGAGACTGATCATAATTTTGATTTAAAGAATGCTACTCTAATTAAAAGAGAAAACAATTTACTAAGATGCAAATGTATAGAAAGTGCTTTAAGCTCTAGATCATCCACAATAAATTTGCGAACATATCCTTATGACGTTTGGCCATTCTTGTCAGATCTATCATCACAATGTGGGCTACTTAATAAGAAAAGACGAATGAAACATAAACAAAAAGAAACTAAATGAAATCGGATAGATTATAAACCAAAAACACGTATTAAAAAATAAAAAGTAATTTGAAATCTTCAACATCCCCTTTCGTTCGGGCGCATGTGTAGTCGAATCAATGTAAACTTACTCCGACGAAACACACACACACACACACACACACACACACACACACACACACACACACACACACATACATATATATATATATATATATATATATAAATATATATATATATATATATATGTCACTGGCTAGATTATCCGACTGATGGCAAATCGGTTGGGTTTCGGACCCGGCTTGAAGCGATCGGATGTCTATCTAGCCACACTGATGAGCTGTGATACAGCGAAACAGTCTATGGACGATTATATATATATATATATATATATATATATATATATATATATATATATATATATATATATATATATACTATGGCTATAAAAGTGGACACTGTGGTTAACACCAAGAAGAGACATTATGTTTTATGCTTCAATCTTCTGTCCTGAAGATTGTATAGTAGCATGAAATAAACTGTTGCCACTTGCTGTTGACCTCAGAGTTTACTTTTATATTTACGCACGTTTACCCATAAATATAGCATACCTTAAAAGTATATTTTTATCACATACACACACATGACACAAACACACACACATATATGAAATGTTCTACTGTAATATATATATATATATATATATATAGGGCGCGATGGATAAATTGTTTTCTAAATTAAGCAAAAATGAAAATGACAATTCATTTTAACAGATATATTTAGCAAAATTACACAAAAATATCTTGAATAGTAGAAAGTAAATGTATTTAATAAAATCGCCACGAGCTTCAGTCACGCCCTTCACACGACTTTGGAATCTCCTGCAAATATTCTGGATTGTCTCCTTGATTAAGTTGGTGAATGATGCCATAATCCTTGACTTCAGTTCATCTTTGATGTTACATGAGTTCTGTTGGTCTCTCGCACAACTGTGCCCCACACATAATAATCCAGGGGCTGCAGTCTGGGGAGTTCGGTGGCCAGATGTAAGGAGTGATGTGGTCGCAGTAATTGTCTGACAGCTATCACTGTGTTCTGCTTGTGTGGCATTCTGCAGAGTCCTATTGCCAGATACAGGGTCTTCATGCAGCCACCCTCTTGACCCAGGGCAGTACTCCTTGTTGTAGTCTTTCGTGTTTCATCTTTGACCCTCACCAACAAATTCAGGTGTTCTTTTCTTATGAGAACGATCAGAGTGAGTTTTTCGAGCAGCCGTACCTTCGTAATCACCATTAGATTCATCCAACTCTTTCCGAATCCTCTGAACTCTCCTCAGTCCAAACTCAGCACTTGAAGATTGCGTTTTGCAACTGCAAATCGTGCGAACAGTGAGGATAATATATATATTAATATATGCTAATAGCTCTGTTATATAACATCGAGCTCTGTTTTATTAACACCAGCACTTTATGTGCAATTCATATATATATATATATATATATATATATATATATATATATATATATATATATATATATATTAAAAAGAAGAGAAAACTGCAATCTACATTACAACCTAAAACGTTTGTGGTTTCTCTGTTCTTTTAATATACACACTTTTCTCTAACTCTTTCATCCAACTCTTTCCGAATCCTCTGAACTCTCCTCAGATTGACACACACACACACACACACACACACACACACACACACACATATATATATATATATATATATATATATATATATATATATATACAAAAAGGAAAACTTATTTTAGTCGACGCGTTCGTTCTCTGACGGATTTTATCATGACTTTATCAAGCAAAAATGTTATTTGTTTTTCAAAATGTTTTGGCTTATCTTTCCGTTATCCTCTTGTATATAAATATTTGTCACAAAATAAAATCCTCACATTTGCCTTGGTAAAGTCCCTCAGAGTTTTCCTTTTGTCTTTATTCATTTTGTTCTTTTATAGATATAACCTATCTGGAATTTATACACACACACACACACACACACACACACACACACACACACACACACACACACACAGATATTAAATGGATGTTTTAATTTGACAGTTGAATTAAAAAGAAGGGAAAGCGATTCCTGTTAGACGGAACATTTTTCGTTAATAGGCCGATTGCTGTTAATTTCACTAAGAAAAATAAAAGCAGGGATAGCAAATCAAACACTAAAAATATTAAAATACGCACTAAAAATAAGGTTTATATTAATAAGAAATAAATGCTACTGTGCTGAAAAGTTCTCGTACCGACCAAGAAAGCCCTACAAAAGTAAAAAATGATGTTTGGTTTTTGTCATTTAATTGAAAATTTTGAAAAATGGATATGATCGATCAAGCCAAAACATGTTTTAGAAGTAGTAAGAATAATTCTTTTTTTTGCGAATGAATCTTACGTAAGCAATTATTGTTATTATTTTTTTTAGAACAATAAGTTTTACTATTTAACCCATATCTGGGCGGAGGAGATAGATTCATTCCTTTCCAAAGAGTATTTGCGAGTAAGTGAATGTAACGACTCGACTGGAATTCGAACTCGCATTTAGAACCGCTATCTATTAGACCACCTGCACACCCTGTATCAGGATGGCACACAATGCGTTGGATTTATACATCTATTGAGATGGTAATATAAATATTCCCAAACGGAATTCGAACGCACTTTGTCGATTTCGTTTTTCAGCGATTTCACCGTTGTTATATAAAAACCATTTTAGAATAAAAAACGGAATTACTTCTGACATGATATTGTAAGATAATACAATATGGTGGCCTCACGAACAGTCGTCTGTACAATGTTACTCTGCCTCGCGGTTTTGCAGTTCTATCATCTGCTTCGAACTCTTGGGCGTTTTAGAAACCAATCTTGCCTTTGAACCTTGGAGATTCTATAATTGTCAAAGAAATCAAAGAGAAAGCGATCTGTTTGAAGAAAACAGCCTAAGGTAAAAATCGTTATTCCAATTTTGGTGGGTTATGTCGTTGGGAACTGAACTAATTTCACCAGTTTCGTGCTTACACCGAAGTTGTTATTCATTGGACCCATTTAAGCGTGAGGAGATATTTCTGGAACTTTCGCTAAGAACAGTGTCCAAACCACTCTAGTGGCTTCTCATCCGCAAGCTTCCACCTACCTACCTTCCACACGCGCGCGCACACACACACACACACACACACACACACAATTTAAATACGGCGTATTTAGGCTGCAATAATTCATTCAAATAAATTTTGATTTCCACCGATAATGTTTGTCTAATGTTTTACTACAGTTTTTCAATTTCCGATTTAGATGCCTTATATTGTTATTCAAATTATGAATACTGTCCAAACTTAACGACTATATATCTTTCCCTACAGTAGGTGGTATATTGAAGTGTAAAATATTAAATATGCGTACGACATATTTAATACGTATAAAAAAAAGAACAAAACATAAATATTCGATACATGCTTTTCTGTTTAACCGTTACAGATGATGTCGCGTTGAATTAATTCAAATACGATCTAAAGAGGATTGAGTTAGAAAGCCATAATCTAATCATAGAAAATAATATTTCACGACCCAGCATTCCTTACATAGGCTAATGCTGATTATGAATTTGTTTGTCCAATTGGAGACTCCATCTCTGTAAATTGGTTTGGTTTGTTTTGTTTTACGGCATATCAACCTCCATGGGTTCATTGTTGTAATGAATATGCATACACCTGGGTTTTCCCTCACAGTAATATGATTGGCTGATGTCAGCCATAAATACAGACTGATGTGGACGCTTATTGACTACGCCTATTGCCTACCACTACGACGAGGAACAGTTCATTACGGTTACCTGTTAGATTGTCCTACCCGGTTACAGTAGTCAACAACCACTTGCTACTTCGAACAAATATACCCCTTTCCGGGACATATCAGTTATTTAATGCCGACAATTTTTTTTTTCCTGGTAATATTTTGTTTTGTCAAAAATCTATTTTTGGTAATATTTTTCCTTCAAAAATGTATTGTTGGTAATAATTTGTTTTTTCAAAAAAGTATTGCTGGTAATATTTTTTTCCTCAAAAATATATA